ATATAAGAGCATAGATTGAAAATTTGGATGAAAACTTTTACCTGCAAGGTCATACGATCGATCCTCTTTTGCTCCTCTCTTCACCTCTTTTCTTTTCTTTTACATACAATTTACTAACCCTAATTATTATACGACTTATTATAAAAGATGTAAAAGCGACCCACTATTAATTTTAATGTTATTTCTTCTAACCACCAATTAAATAAATTATTAAAACTGCCCAAGTAATTTCATAAATATAATTTTGAATAGTCCACTCATTTAGAATCTATCAAAATTATTTTATCAAATAAAACTTCTAGTACTCAAAACGATCAAGTGTGTGTGTGTGTGTGTGTGTGTATGCCTGAGTGCTCCATAGATTTATCTAAAAAAAATTGGGAAAATATTTGATTTTAAACTAGTATTATCTTTCTATAGCTTTAGAATTCTTTTTTTGGGAAAATAGTTGATTTTGAATGTCTTGCTTATATCATGGGATTATGTGAATTAATTATTACCATCTTTTGTGTTATTGTTACCATTTATTGAAAAAATAATTTTTTTGTATAAATTTAATTTTAAAAAATATGGATTAATTACTTAAGTGGATCCCTTTTAAAAAATAATTACTTATTTTAGATATACTCTTTAAATATTATCATTTATAACAATATAAAACAAAATTATATATTTGTTAGATTTTTCTTCTCTCGCCTCTTTCTCTCTTTTTTTTCTCTCCGTTTTTTAATTCTTCTCTCTTTCTCTTGCTCCTTTCTTTTTGTATATCTTTCTCTCTTACTTTTTTTTTGTTATTGTGTTTTTTATTTTCAGCTTTCTCTTTGTTGTTGTGCTCTCTTTCTCTCTTGTTTTTTTCCTTTTGTTTTCTCGTAGAATGAATAAAATTTATATCAATAATTAATTAAATAAATAAATAATTTAATCCCTACAAATAAAGAGACACAACCAATTGCAAAATGAATTGAACTTGAACTAAAAATGTATTACACACATATCAAAGTTGAATTAAAAATGTATTACACACAATGATCTAAAGAGTAAATTAAACTTGTATTAATAATAATTAAACAAGTAATCCATTAATGACAAATAAATCAAAAAATTGTAAAACAAATTCTATTGCCTTAAATTTGTATTACACAATATTAAAATTGAATTAGAAGAGAGAGTTAAGAATGAACAGAAAAAGTAACTAACAAAAGACAAGTGAATGATCTATAAACTGAATTAAACTCATATTATTCATGAATAAAACTTATACCGTATGTATCTTATAAATTTTTTTTTATCACTAAGAAAATGAATGATGGTTGCAATATGCATTAAAAGTCTATTGTGCATGTCTTATAAATGTATTATTAATGTATTACATAAATTATTTTTGTTGGTATCCGTAAAAAAAAGTGAAGTGTGCAATAAATATTATAAATGTATTTTTCATGAATAAAATATGTATTATATGTGTCTTATAAATTACTTTTTATTTGTATCACTAAGAATGTGAGTGATGTTTGCAATATGAATTGTGGATGTATTATAAGTGTGTTACCTAAATCATTTTAGCTGATATCATTAAAAAAGAAATGAAGTTTGCAATATGTACTATAAATGTAGGATGTATTGTTCTTGATTTTAATACAACTTTAATACAATTAAAATATATCTAATACAACTTTAATACAAATGTGATATAATTCTGTAAACGTTATCCTTTTCAAGCTTCAATCTAATAATTTTCCTAAAATCAATTCTAAAGTTAATCAAACCCTCTTAAAATTGAGAAATAAACTACAAACGATATTTTTAACTATTTGTAGGAACTGGCTATCAAAATTATTGCAAACGAAAGAGCAGTCAATGATTCGTAAAATATATAAAACTTGTATCAATAGTAATTAGATAAGTAATCTAATTGTAACAAATGAAGAAACATATAAAACTGTCAAATGAATTAAACTTGAATAAAAAAATATATTACACACATTTTAAAGTTGAATTAGAAGAGAAAATTAACAATACATGAAAAACGTAACTAACGAAAGACAAGACAATAATCGATAGACAGAATTAAACTTGTATTGTTCATAAATAAAACATGTATCATATGTGTCTTATAAATTATTTTAGTTTGAATCACAAAGAACATGAGTGATGTTTGCAATATGTATTACAAATGTATTGTGCAGATGTTATAAATGTATTACAAGTGTTACTTAAATTATTTTGATTGATATCACGAAAAAAGGAGTGAAGTTTGTATTATGTATTATAAATGTATTGTTCGTGAATTTAATACAATTAGTGCAATTATAAAACATATGTAATATAACTTTAATACAATCGCGATATCGTTCCATAAACTTCACCTTTTTCGAGTTTTGATCTAATATTTCTCCTAAAATCAATTATAAGCTAACCAAACCCTCTTAAAATTGTGCTATAAACTCCAAACAACATTTTCAATTACTTGTAAAAAAAATCTATCCAAACTAATCACAAATTTGTAAAATTCCAGTAATTAATTCAAAATTTGAATCTTTATAATGATCATCAATATTGAACTCTTATTTATATACTTTTAAAGATTTGAAATTTCTATTTGAGAACATGATATTGTGCATTTTTTTTATTTTTCTATTTCTTCTCGTCATGTTTTTGAATATAACTAGTGAAATATTGACAAAAACTGATTTAACACCATTATTTAAATGAAAAATTATTTTTTTTATAAAAAGAAGAAGAAGAATAAATAAAGAGAAAGAGAAAGGATGATGCAGGAAGAGACAACCAAGAAGAAAAAAAAGGAGGAAGAGAAAAAAGAGGCAGAGAAAGAGGAGAAGGTACCATTTTTTAATTCTAAAAAATTGTTATCTTTAGTTAAAAAAATTATATTGATATAAATGATAAATATTTTTTTAATATTGGATATTAATGTGATTTACTCAAAAAACATTTTATACAAATTAAAAGTCACCTAACAAACTAAACTATACCCATAAAATATAATTATGTAAATTATACTCATAAAATGTAATTTCATAAATTCCATTTATCACATGTGAATTTTTCCCTACAATGAAATACTATCATACTATGCATATTTATTGTTCGTCTGCACTAGTAAGCAAAATTTGGTTGATTGGTATCAATTTTTTTGGTGGTTTTGACAACTAATTGTGATTATCCTAGTATATCATTTGGATCTCATTGCACATTGTGTCACATGATTGATAAATATTTGATGTAAACAAACATCGGCTCAAACATATTAGTAGTTTAAAGTAAAAATCAAATGAAGCTTTAAATTTAAATTGTTAATAACTTTTATATAATTTATGTCTTCTAGTTTTTATCTCATAATATAATTGTTCTTATTTTAAATTATTTTTCATAAGATATAGTACTCAAAATATGTCAAATTTCTTCTAATAATCTCTTCATTTTTCATGAAATGTTTACTTTCTCTACAAATAGTATTCAATATTTGTTAAAAAATAATAACTTATAATCTATTATTATAAAAAAAAATGAGGCTCCTTAAATTTGGAGGCATAAGACACATATTTTTTTAACACTATCGAGCCACCCACGTAGACATATGATACGAATAAGTATTTGAAGAGGATCATTAATATGGTGTAATGATGGAATATTGAATGTAATTTAGCGTCAAGCGTATTTTCGCTCAACTTCTCCCTCAAAATTATATGCAATTAAACATACCAATGTGTACCAGCACAAAAACAGTTGTTTTGCATTATCACATCTCAATACTTGCATGGATAAAATCTATATCCTGTAAAGGCTAGTTACTTGCTATTTCTTCTAATATAAATAGCGAGTGATTCTCTCCATCAATAGTACTAAAGCAAAATCGCCATACTCTTTTTGTCTATGCTAGAAACCCTGATCTCTCGTGATTTTTACTTCCTTTATTAACTGCTAGGCCACCCCCTCAAGCATCCCTGGAAAGAAAATCTTTTATGGACTAGGCAGGCACTCATAGTTTGGAGATGTTCACAATTGCAAACGGCAAGCATGGCCTGCTTTGAGCTTTTTCAAGTAAAAAGAGAACCAACAACAACATATTCACTGTAATCTCACAACTCACAAGTGCAGTTTGGAAAGGATAAAGTGTATGTAAGCCTTATTCCTAGCCCGAGTAGGTAAGAGATACTGTTTCTGAAAGACCCTCAGATCAAGTATAACAACTCAAAGATGACTATGCAATGTAAATTATTTTCAATCTACAGTCTCTAAAAACTGTGGCAGAAGCACATTGATATATATTGAATGAATCAAAACCATGTGAATCAAGATATGCAGAAAGAATGTCAAATATATTTTAATAATATAATCAGTGATCTTTCCTCCCAGTTACAGAAAAATAAGCTACATATGTACTTAAACATATATAGGATTTGGAAGGTCGGTGGAGCAACAAAAATTTCTACTACACAGATCTTTGCTGTGCTGCTACAGATTTTCAACTCTAAGAATAAACTTAACCTTTTTTTGCAACAGAAAAAAAGGAATGGAAGATGAAATGACAGAAATAAGCCAGTATTTTTAGTGCTTTACTTTGTAGCTAGTTTTCAGTTTCTAGTTCTTAAGAAGAGGACTAACAAAAAATGCAGAAACAATAGCTAATCAACAGCAGTCTTGCTTTTTCGAGGACCAGTGGGCTTTTGAAGGCTATCAAAGATTGGTTTGGTAATTGCGGCAGTAGAAATTGCCTGGAAATCTGGCTTCAAATTCCACTTGGATGTTGTCCACAGGGAAGATAACGTGCTACTGTCTGATTCCTGCAAACTCGGTGTACTCGATGACTTCCTGACACTTGCACTGTCGTTCAGAAAAGAATCGTTCAACAGCATAGTGATAGGATTTATGGAACTTGCTTCAGCATCTGGTCCAAGGAGAATTCGACTAGCTGATTTAGGTCGCAAAGCCAAACCTTTGCCAGCAGCAGCAGAAAACCCGCTGCCACTGCTGTTATCTTCTTTCAACAGCACTTCTGGCGTGCGGGAACTGAAATCAGCCTCAGATTTTTGACGCCTTCTAGACAATTTCTCGAACAATATATTAGAGCCATTTTCAGCGCTACCTACTCCGTTCTCTGACATATCATTAGCTACACTTTTACATTTTCTATGAAGACCAAGTGGTTGATTAGAATGAGGAGTTGACATGACAAATGGTCCATCTTCTAAATAATGTGATACTCCTTTCCGATAGACAGCCATTTCAAAACCTTCAGATGCAACTTTCTGATCTGCCAGTTTAGGGCCCTGATAACCTAGTAAAGAGCTCATGGCTGGTGAAACTCTTTGCTGGGAGGAAGACTTCAATTTCAGGGATTGAAATGAACCAAACAAATTAGGGTATTTGTTCCTCGGAGGGATCTGCTCAGAGCTGCTTGGCCTGTCAAGAAACAAATCACAGTTACCACATAGCTCAGCACAAGTTCTAAAGCTTAGAATATCAAAGATGTGGTAGTCAAGAAGCCAATGACACAGAAATGACTAAATACATAAAATAGTCTTGTATCGTAGATACTACTTGACATGGGACGTCGTATCAACTTTAGAAGAATTAAGCAATCTTCATTAGACTAGCAGTTCATATGAATATAGTTCGGCAGAAATTAGTGATATGAGAAATAATATGAATTTCCTCTTTAGTTTCTCTAATTCATACTAGTGCAAGCGTTACCAAATTCATTCTAATTCTCAAGAAAAAGTAATCCAGAATATGTACCTGGAAACATATAATAGAACATGATTTCTGCAACTCCAGGAGACCCCACGAAATGTCAGATGATACTAATATATAAGAACCACCTAAATGTTAACTTCATAGGAAAATAGTTATATACGATACAAGAAAATTTTTCTTGTGGACAATCTTTTCTTTCTTTCAGTAAAGTTCTTGTGGACAAAGCAAAGCTTGTCTGTCTTTTTCCTTTTAGACAGTACATGGTACATGGTCAAATTACCTAATTTTCGGTGTGAATTTTGAAATAGAATCTTCAAGATTTTTGAAATAAACTTACACATTACTAAAATTACAAAAAAAAAAGTACAAAAAGTCACAATAGTTATTTTTAAAAAGTAATTGAAAAAACTGTGGTTAAAGAAAAACTCATTCGACTTCCCAAATAGTAATTCTGTCCCATAAAGTGGATCAGACGAAGTAATATTACCCACAAACCAGATTGCGTAAACAAATTTATACAGCACAACACCAATTATATATGCCTTAATTGGAAATTTCTATTTCCAACATACAACAGAGACCCACCCAAGGTAAATGGGCTCTTCTCAAGCTTTTCTCCACGAGACCCATATAAAGCTCTTGCCTAAACAAGTCCTACTTAAATATCTATGTGAAACACGGCAGGTTATATTCTACAGGTGACACTAACAAATTACAATAACAGAGAACCACAAGCTGATATGACTTGTTCCAGGTAGAGAAAGACAAGTAAAAAAAAATGACGACATTCAACTAACAAATAAACCGTAGATTGTGGTTTGTTACGTGAAATACCTAATTCATGTCAAATTTGTAAAGAGAGAAAAGGAATGAAAGCTGATGAACAAAAAGTTCAAACAACATGCAAAGTTATGAAGGCATCTCTAGGTAACTGTGATCAGATCCCCAACACCATATTATATCAAAAGGGTGCCCCCATACAATAAGCACTATTTTCTGAAAGAGTTAATGCAGCTCTGAACAAACCGGAATATACCGTGTATGGCTTTCATGTCCAGAAGAATAACAAAGGAAAAACGCGCAAACAAGCAATTATAATTATACATCTAAGCAGAAGATGAAAACTATAAAAAAAGGATAAAAGCTTTATCCTCAGACTAGTACAACAAGTACATTAAAATAAAGACTTTATAACCAGTACTAGAGGAGATGTTGTGAAAGAGACACATGTATGAGATCTAAAGAAACGTTACAGTACCCTTGGGTGTCTTGACCATTTGAGACAGCAGGTGATGGTGGATGCCTCCCAGGTAATGGTATTTGAAGTGTCTTTCGAGCAAACATTTGGAGATCCGAAACCAGCCCATTCAACTTCTTAATATCAGACACCTGTCACATTATATCATTGCACACCATGTTAAAGCCATCATCTATTTGGAGGATGCGATCCCAGGTGCAAAATGATAAAGATATCTTGATTTTGCAGTAAAAATAAAACAAAACTGAAGTTCAGCATTACATAAACTGCATGCTTAGCATGTCACCTAACAGGAATATGTTCAAAACTCCTTGAATCATCACAATATTTATCCTCGCATTTGTTTCAAAATGTTCATACAATCAGCTGGCATTCTCAGAAACTTGCAAGTGTTCAATGACCCCCTTTCCTTTTTAGTCTGTTTCAAAATGAATGACATCTTTCTTTTTTTTTGTAACATTTTAATTTCAGGTTTCCATGTGGCATGTTTAAGGTCACAAGATTAAAGGAAATTTTATACATTTGACATAACTTTAATTTAAGACCACAAGATTCAAAAGTCTTCTTTATTTTCTTAAACTTCGTGCCAAGTCAAACTAGGCCACTCTTTTTGAAACAGAGGGAGTAATATATATGTATTGACAATAGCAGAAGAAGAACTAGTTAAGTGCATAAAGACATTTGTCATAATAATAGCCAAAAAGATAAACTTTAGCCTTTAAGAGCAGTGGCTGGCTAACCATATCTCTAGAATCCAGTATACTGACAGCAGAGTTGAGAGTACATGCCAAAACGAGCTCTGCCACTACATACCTACAACCGCTAAATGATCCACCAGAATTTGATGCTATAGTTACATTTATCACCAGCAGAAACTTCTACAGCTGCCAAATTTAGGTCCATCTTCATTCTATCAATTATGTGCTCATGGAAAACAGAGTAAAGCCCACGTCTTCAACCACTAAAGGATCCTAGAGAACTTTAATGATCACCTGCAAAAACTACTAGAGCTGCTGACTCGTCCTCCTTCTGTCAGTTAAGGGCTCGCAGACAACACAGTAAAATCAAACCACCTCAACAACTATTCCTCTTCTTTTTACTTATCAAAGCGAAATAAACACCCAACTCTAACATATTGTGCCTCCCTCGTCATTTTTCACTATTACATAGTTCACAAGAATTCTCTTCTCTTTTTTTTCCGAAGATGGCAAAGCTCATCCCCACCAAACCTCCTTTATGAGGAGCTAAACGACACCTTTTACTTTCATCAACTCGAACACAACCTCATACTAAGCTATCACTCTATTATAAATGTCAAAAATCATTTTCTATAATTTAATGAAAATGGCATTTTTGCAAACTACGACAGCTCAACTAATCAACCAGGCAGCCTGTTATAGGCTTATAGCCCACACAAACAGAGAGACCAGTTATAGTCATATGAACAATGCAACAAATTTATTCATTCAAAAGTCCCCAATTCCTCCATTCTTTCTATAATCAAAACAAAAGTATAACACAGCACACATGAAGCAACATCTCATAAATACTGATAACTCAATCCGACAACAACTAACCCTCTGTCCCAAACAAGCCAGGATCGACTATACGATCCTTTGTTACTCCGTTTCAACTACAAAATACCAATATTTTTATTTGTATTATTTACCAAAACCAAAAAAAAAAACAATTACCTCAACGCCATATCTGATTGCTACACCAGGAAGGGTATCAAATTTTGTAACTTGGTGTTGAATATAATTCGATCCTCCTCCTCCGTCGTCGGACTGCCGAGGAGGTGATGACGTCATCATCGCAAATCAATTTCCGGTAAATCAATCTCCCCCCGCAAAAATTAACCGAAAAAACCCAACCCAGTTTAAATCTACATAATATAATCAGCTAAAAATCTACAAAAATCAGAATCATCATTCTTCTCTGAATATTAATAAAGAATGTATGCCAACTCAATACAAGAAAACAAAAAAAATAAAGCCTAACACAGCTTCAGTTACAAATTTTGATCAATACCCATTCAGCAAAGATTGAAGAATTCATTTAAAAATTGCATCTTTAAGTATCAAAAAAAGAAATGAAGGATTAAAGAAAGAAAACACAAACAAATAATATAGAGAGCTTCTCAGATCTGGTGATCAGGTAGTTTTTTATTTTTTATTTGTTATTATAATTTTGTTGGTTCCTTTTTTCTTGGTAAGAAAAATGAGAGAGAATGAAAGATGACGGGAACAGTGACGATCGAGAATGTGCAGAATTCTTTGATTTAACAACCTTTTATATCATTCAAATTTCTTTACCCAAAAATAAAAAGAACAAATAGACGATACCCCGTAAATATCTTTTATCGTTAATTATAAGGTTAAAATTAAAAAGAAAGATTTAAATAATATCATTTATAAAAGAGATGATTAATTCATTATATAAAAATGAGATAATAAAATATAGAGACAAATAATATCATCTTATTACATTTGAACTGCAAAAAGATTCACACTACAAATTCTTCTCCTAATCAAAATTCTCAAAGTCATTAGAACTAAATTATGAATATTAATTAAATTAGGAGGAACAAATATCTATTTGTTGAATCCTAACATTTTCCTGCTAGAGAAAAATTAGCCAAAATGAGAACTTTATCTTACTCATTTATAATAAGAAACTCCGGACAAATATTTAACTACGATGAAGAAAGTATAGCAAGGAAATTAGCAAAGTAGTGCACGATAAAAGAAGCAATAACGACAACGAAATAGTATGGTAATCGAAACTCAATAAACAATATAAGAAGATTAACACATAAATAAGAATTACAAGTATACGACTAGTACTATGACGGGTACTAATTATAGGTCTAAATCCTCGCAGGTAAGACAACACTCTATCTTTATTGGCATTGAATCTAATACACGATCTTCACTTCATCCTATATAGAGTTGTCTAATTACCTCTTTTCAATACTTTTTTAGCTATCTTCACCCCTTTCATACCCCTATAACTAACATATCTTTACTAACTTTCTATCTTAATACATGATCTCCACTTCATCGTATCTATAGTCATGTCCTTAATTTATGTAATTGTGTCATGTTTTATCTAATCACATTTTTTCAGTACATTTCGACCTATCTCTATCATCTCTCACACCTTCTCACTGAGACTTATACACACCTTCTCACTGAGACTTATACACACCTTCTCTTTCCTAATTATGAATTCAAATCACTAAAAAGGTAAAAAAGAAAAAGAGTTCTTAATAAAGTGTTAAAAAGGTACCAAAATGAGGTAAAATTTATCAACACAAATATTTGCACAAACACGTATCAATCCCACTATGAAAAAAGTTGCAATAATATGATATGATACTTAAAATCTAACATTCTATATATATGTTTTTAAAGATCTAAAATTCTAAATGTATTAACAATAAATTGATTACCATTACATATTTTTATGATGATAAATATTATCGTTAGAAAAATTATTGTCACTAAATATCTTTTAACATTAATATTTTCTAAGGTTGAACCTTTTTCTAAATATATATATATTTAATATCCAATATTTAATATTAGTGTGGATTGAGTAAATATGAAGTATGTTAGACAAATTTTATTGGGTAAATGATTTAAAAAAAAAGTTATTTCGTACTTAAAACTTGAATATGATACACATGGTTAAGTATGCATAAATATTAATGAGACTCCAAAGTAATTCTTGTTGGTTTATATTAAATGATCTAATCAATATATATATATATATATATGCATAAATATTAATGAGACTCCAAAGTAATTCTTGTTGGTTTATATTAAATGATCTAATCAAAATATATATATATATATATATATATATATATATATATATATATAAATGAGGACCATAGACAAGGTGATGTGGCACCTCTCTATGGTCTTCTTTCTCAATTAAACAACATGTCTTTTCAATTTCCTTCCAACTATTTTTATGGCTTATCCAATCTATAAATATCTATCATCTATAGAGATGTTGAATGTTTATTTTTATTTTTTTCATTCTTTCTTTTTAGTAGTATAGATTTTTAATTTTCTTTTCTTCGTCTTTTTATTCATCAATCATGTACATAATATAAAGAAGACATAGAAAAAACGATGTCACAATATGACTTTCGCTATGATGAATATCATAGATATATTCTTCAAAGATTGATCACATTATTTGGTATAAGTTCAACAAAATGAAGAAGGAAACAAAATTATCTTGGAGATTCCGGAAGATAGAGTCATCGTAGTATAAAAGTTTGAATGATTTTCAAACATTTTGAAAATTCATTGTTGTATTATTTTGATTCCAATTAATATTATTCTATTCTCTTTTATTTTATTTCTTTGATTTGAACAAAAAATGAATATTCTATTCATTGTTGTTGTCGTTGAAGATGAAAAGATGCACATTTTTTAATTATTTATATATACGTCAATTTATAGCTAATTAATATTTTAAATTTTTCCATGATTGAATTAAAAGTATATTACCTATGGTACATTTCTTTTTATATCTACTGGATATTGTTGTCCCTAAAAATGTATGATGTGGTCTATCATATTAGTAATCAATCACAAAATAAATGAATAAATATTCTTTTTAGTATTAAATTTTTATAATAATATTTTATGAATGAGCATACCCGATATCACTTTGTAAGAATACATTACATTGTTTTTTTAATTAAACATATAAAGTTGACATATTTTTAATGTGAATGAATAACACATGAAAATGTTAATAAGTAATAAACTCGTATGAGAATATATATATATATATATATATATATATATATATTATATAATTGTAAATAATAAAACGAATTTTGAGTAGACATTATTGTAATTTGTTGTTTATCACAGTTTATGTTTCTTCATTAGTTAAAACCTTTATTTTTTCATTTTATCCTATAAATAAATGGGTAAGGGGAGAAACTAATCCTACAAAAATAATTAGAACTTTAAATTTATCATTCCCTAAAATTGATCTCATTAATTTTCCCTTCTTAAACTAAGAAATATGTATCTCTTTATCTTCATAATTTATATTTTCATAATCTCTATAACTCCTCATAACTCCCAAATTTAAATGTGTAAACTTATGATAATTTATTTTGTTTCTTAATATATATATATAAGAGAGAGAGAGAGGGAGAGAGAGAGGGAGAGAGAGAGGGAGAGAGAGGGAGAGAGAGAGGGGGAGAGAGAGAGGGAGAGAGGGAGAGAGAGAGGGAGAGAGAGAGAGAGGGGGGGGGGGACCATGAATTAGAATGGAGATTAAAGAATAGAAAATTTAAAAAATATTAAACCTAAATTTTATAATAACTTGGTTAAGACCATGCAATACAATGTCACAAGTTTTCAATTTGTGTTGCAACTTATTCCTTAAAGAAAAGAAAAGAACCATGATAGAAAATATTTTTTTGTCAAAATCAAAAATAACAATTGAAAAAAATTACTTGTAATTTAATGAACCAGTACTATGACTTGTGTTTTTATTATTTTATTTATTGTTTTCTATCCCACTTTTTAGTTTTTTTTAACGCTTTATTTTATATGAATTGAAATAAGTAATTGATAGCAAAATTTAATGAGTGAAAATTGATCCCATAATTGAAGATGTTGCAAACTTTTGAGTCAAAACTTTCTTTTTTGCCTTGGTTTACTTGTATGTATATTGCACTCCCCAATATATATTTTAATATTAGATACTTATATTCTTTATACTATCAAAATCATATTTTTATAACTCTTTTAAAGTATATTAAAATATAATTATCAAATCAAAATAAATAGAATTGTGAATATAAATATTTAATATATATATTTTATGAAATTTAAAATTAGGACAAATATTTATTTATGCATTTGATAAATTAATTTATTTTTGTTAAATATGCATATTTTGAAAATTTTAAATTAAATATTGAATACAAATGAATAAATAAATTGATTCGATTTTTAACATATTATAAAAATAAAATCACTAAATTTAGTATTTATAAAAACTTTATCTTAAGTTTTAAATTATATTTTAATATACTTAGTTATGAATATATATCTCATGTCGGGTGTTCATGTGTTAATTTTATAGAGAAAAAGGTGTGATCGTTGATTTGAAAATGTAAAGACTACATTTGAAATTAAAATATATTATCAAAGTATTCAATTCAATTAACCTTCCATTCTATAAATCACTATATAATATATGTAGAGCTTATTATTTATCAAATATTTTTATATAGTTAAAATGAATCTATTTAATACAAAAATCATGTTCTCATTCGAAGTTGAACATATCGAGACTTAATAATCAGTAGCGTAATGTTTTAATTACTTTCTAAAATTTCGTATTTAACAAGTGGAACATAACATTTATTTTTTGATCTAATTGCAACTAAAAAATCTAAAATATCGATTGATGTGACTTATTAAAAAAAAACATACAAATCTAAATTGTATATTTGAAAAAAGAACAAGAACGATTGAAAAATGAAATATTTAAAGAAGTTTTATCATATCAATATGACAAAGAATAATAAGACCTGTAAACGTGTTTCATTAGTATTTTCAGTTACTTCACAACATAACTTTTAGATACTCAAGAAAAAAGATATACTGTTGTAATAGATTATAGATGTTAAATTTGTTAAGCTTCATTTCAATTGTCATCTCAAATGATCTTCATAATTAATATATAATTAAAAAATATAGTGATAATATTATGTTTAGGCATACAAATAACATATAATTAATTAAAAAAAATAATTCTTTAACATTTAGTTCAAAAATCGCGCGAAGCGCGGCCAAATTTCTAGTTGAGAATAAATACTAATTATTCCTATTGAATTAAGATAAATTTGTGCAAACGCATGCCAAGTACTTATTGAATTCGGTATAAATATTTGGTTTTCTAATTAGTGTCTTATTGGGGCATATTGAAATTACATCCATGCCGAAAAAATATGTGTTAGAGTAAAATGATTTCTAATAAATGTGGTACGGAACGAATGTTCAAATAACATAAGACAAGATAAAATCAAAGTTTGTAAATTTAAACCATGATAAAATTAAATTAAATGTGAATTAAATTTCTTCAATCTTTCCCTATATTTCCTTTTTTTTCTTTTATTTTTCTTTAGTTTCTTATTCAATTAAGATTTGTGTTAAAAATAAAATATTATATTTTAAAATAAATAACGAATACATTTAATTTCATTCGACACAAAATTTATTT